TTAATTGTATTAGTTTTTTTTGGTAGATAGTTGATGTTTGTAACAATTTATTTTTAATCTAATTTATTTTAAATTTTAGTTATTTTTTATTACAAAAACCATTGGATATTTGAATAAAAAATATTTATTTGAATAAAAAACATTTATTTGAATAAAAAAAATTATATTCATATATTCAATCTATATTATAATTTTATTTTTAAATCTATTTTTAAATTTAAAAATGTAAAAATTAAACTATTTTATATCAATAGAAACATATAAATCCATATTAGTTTTAGATATAAATATTATAAATAATTATTTTAAATAAATAAATAAATAATTTAAATATAATATGTATCAAAATTATACTAGAATATGTATATATATATGTATATATATATTTATGTGCATATACATATATGTATATATATATTTATGTGCATATACATATATTTATATATATATATATATATATATATATATATATATATATTTGTATATGCACATAAATACATGTGTATGTATTGATCAATGTTTAGTTGTCTCTCTATTTTCAAGTACTACTTGTAAATAATTCTTCCACATAGAAAAAAATTTATTAAAGATATATTTTATAAAAGAGCTCCATTTGTCTTTAAAATCTGATTGAATTTATGATTGTAAGTTAAATAAAGCATTGCTTGGTCCAATTGGCATAATAATGTATTTAATCAAATATTTTTAAAAAATCTGATTAAATATGCTCGTAACACGTACTATGGTGTATTCAAATAATAACAAGTTTTTTTAATATCTGTTTATTTAAACTATGTTTGGTAGATAGAAAAAAAATGAGATTATGAAGCTTTAAACTCGTTTCTACAAATTAAGGATGAAAATCTGATAAGTGTTTATAGAATAAAAAATAAAATAAAAATAATAATTTCTTAAATAAACAGTAGATGGGATTATTCAACAGAGAATAAGAATTCCATTAAAAAGACTTCTAAAATATGATTTGTTTATTTAAGCAGTACAATATTTTCATTTATGTTTATATTTTTTTCTAATGTGTAATTTTTATTCTGTAAAACTTAGGTAAAACTGTACTAGTATTGTAAGTTTTTCTTCAACCATTTAATTTTCTATTTATTTTTGATAAAAGATAGATATCAATCTACAATAGTAATGGTGACTACTTCATAAAACTATGTTTGACAGGTTTTATCTTGTAGTTCTTATAGAAGTATTTTTATAGAGATTTTTTATTATTAATTTTCCTATAAAAATTTAAGAAATTTTAATTTTTCAAATAAATAAAAAATATAATTTCTAATATCTTCAAAGAATCTTGTAGAATTGAAAATCAATAATATCAAAAATAAACTATTGTAAACTTCCAAAATATGTTCATACCTATATATTATTAAAAATTTCTAATCTTAAGCTGGAAAATATCAATAACTTTATTTTGAATTTACTAAAGAAAGAAATAATATTTTGATTAATTAAGGTGTAAATTAAGACTTTGTACCTTTTTAATTCTAATTCAAGCAAAAGTGAATCATATATTAGACAATTTTATAAACAACAGTCTTACCATATATGACCAAATCTACTTGGCATTAACTATCAACAGTAACTAAATTTATACTATTTGATAGATAGTTTAATTTCTAATAATTTCAAAAAATGAAAAAACAAATGAATCCATCTAAATTTAAAATATTTTATAACTTCGTCAAAAACATTAATATTTATTGCATGATGTGTGACATATCTATATATATATATATATATATATATATATGTACATACATATATCACTTTATATATACTTTATCTATATTTTGATGTAATTTAATTTATTTAATTTACTTTTTTATTATATATGTTTGTAAATTGATATTTTAGGTTTTGATTCCAATCTATTGCATGACAAAAATAATATATGTTAACATAGATTATTAATTATTTGTGGCTCTAATTATTTTTTAAAGGCGAAAAAATAATTATATTATTAAATTTAGAGCTTTAAAATTTACAAGCAATTACATTATAATATTTTTATACAATGGTGCAATAATATGTAGTAATTTGTAAGTAATACTAAACGTTTGATTATTTTTAAAGCTAAATTTAGATACAACTTTTAATTAAATCTGAAAATAGTATTAAATATGTATAATTAGATACTTCATAAAATCTTTTTTTTTTATCTAAGTTTGGTTTAAGTAAATATTTTAAGATACTATACTTATATAGATAGTAAAATTAAAGATTCATCTGAATTTTAAATATAATAATATTATAACTTTAATATCAATTTAAGATAAGAAAAAATAATAAAAATATATATAAATTCATTATTATTTTAATTTTTAAATAAATTGAATTTAGATAGGTAATTAAATTATAGATATATTTTTACTATATATACACTAGTATTAGAATTCGTTCCTTTGCTTCAAAAATAAAATATTACAGTTGGTCATCAGACTATAACAAATAGCAATATAATTTGGATGGAAGTGTAGATGGATGTATGGACATTTAGATAGATAAATACTCATAGGCACACTCCTTCTTATCATATGTTGCAAATGTTACCCTCTATCTTAACCTCTCCAAGTGCATGAAACAAAAACAACAGTGAATCAAAGGCATAGAATGATTTTGGTTGGAAACATATATATATATATATATATATATATATTAGTTGAATAAATGATTGGATTACTGCATAAATACATGCATGGTCCTTTGGATGGATGAAAAAACATACAAACAAACACCATTTTTCAATAAATGAAATATATTTGATGCAAAAACTAATTTTAGAATGGCATCTTTAAAATGTTTTGATAATATTAACTTGATTAAAAAACGTATGACTTAAATAATAAAATAAATTTGTATTTTAAAAATATAAAATACTTTAAATTTTTAACACATACAATGTACCAATTTTTGTAATTTTTTCTAATACATAATGTTACTTATTTACAGAATTATTTAAAAAAAATGTTATTAACAAACAATGTTTTTAAATATGCATAGTAATATTTTATACTTTGTTATTTTATTAGTTTCAAATACATAATCAAATGATGTCTTTCTGTTAATATATTACGGTTTTATACCAGGTGCCTTATGCTACTCATAGCATATATATATATATATATATATATATGTAATTTTGTTTACATTTCATTGAGTACCTTGTACCTTATCAAATATTCTGTTCATCTTTAATTTGTTTCTCTAATAATCCTTATCTATATATATATATATATATATATATATTCTATTTGATTGTTGGATGATATAAACATGTGCTGTTCAAAATTATTCAAGAACATGAGAAAATTTAGTTTTCCTGTTTTAGTTATGTTTGACCTTATATACATATATATATATATATATATATGTGTGTATGTATGTATGTATATATGTATTTTTTCATACACATGTATGATGGTTGAAAATCATATTATACCACGATGTGAGAATCTTCTGAAGGACACTTTGGTGAAGGAGTGCAAGCTTAAAACATTGTCAAGGGGTGAATGCCACGGTGGCAATGAACAAGTAATTCGTTTAGAAGGTCATGGCACACGTGGACACAACCCCACCAGCTTGGAAGTGGCAAGTGGACCCAGTTCCATTCAGAAGTACCTGGCATGTAACACCACGTAGGCTGGGCTACTTAATATCTACTTTTATCTCAATGGTAGAGGGTGCTCAACAACAACTACCAGATGTGAAGATATATGAATTAGGAGGTCCATGCACACACACATAAACACTATTGTTAACATTGTGCATATATATATATATATATATATTTTCACACACATATACATGTCATGTGTTAAACTGTTAAATTTTTATTTGCATATAAATTTATAAACATATTAGTAAAATGACGATTGGATATGGTCAATTAAAATTAAAATATTTCAAACATATGTTTGAAGAGATTAAGAATATCTAAAACTAAATTTGAGTACTCTTTATATTTATATTTATATTTATAAAAAATGTATTGTATTACATTATAATACTTCTCATACAATCTATGTTTTCAACAATAATAAAGAAATTGAAATTTAATAATTAAAAACACTAACAAGCAGTTGAATATTAAATTTTTCATGTAAAATTTTTAAAGAAAAATTGAACAACATGCATACCATATTTGCTTTAATAGAACAACCACATAACAATCCTCCCCATTCATAGGTTTAAAAACATTATTCCAAGTTGAATAAGATTCCACTAAAACGCGTCCAACACAACAAACGATCGTCGGTGCCACACGGTCGGCGACTACTGGATGGTAAATGTCGACTTGGCACCTCAGGAGAGCCAAAGACTGTGGGACCCATGGCCACGTTTGTGTCGGCACTGGGGCGGTGGAGCGTGTCCAAAGTAGAGAGAACTAAAAAGTGCTGCCTTGAATGCACAATCTCATGGAGCCATGGAGCCGTTGGAGCATCGATCTTACCTACCATGGCCCCGGAATCCATTCCTGCCTTGTGATCATCTGCACTTGTTCAGGGCCACGAAGACCGAGCGACGCTTCGTCGTGCTATTATCAATCACCTCCATCCTGTCAGTCGACAGATCTTCGAAGCTTTTCGGTGTTGAATCGAGGCCTTCTTTTAGACACCCGTCGCATTCGAGCGCAATGCAAAAAGTAGGTATTGTGCTTTCTTGAATAGTTCGGAATTTTACTTTTATTGTGAGTTTGGTCGGCATGATCTGGGTTGGGCCGTAGATGCAACTGCTCGTGCGCACACTCAGTACTCCTTTGCACCCAATGGGTTGCGAATGCAATCAGTATTTGTGATGGCATGAACCATTGTTCTGGCTATTTTTGCGTGTGGATTGTCGCCTCGGAATCGTGTCGTCGTGCATTTTTGAGGAATTCTCCTCTTTCTCGGTTTGGTTTCCAGGGCGGGACTGGGGAGCCGTGAGGGGTGGGAAGTTTTGTAGGTGGCCTACCGTGACTCTCAAGACGCGTAAAATTCAAATCTTGACACAGAGGTTGCCATAACTTGCTGGGATTAATACCAAGTTTCAACCTCATTTCTGCCATAATATCTACATCTGAAACACATGGCATTGTCAGGAACACCACATTTTTCTTTTCTTTTCTCTTCTTCTTCGTCTTCTTCTTTCTTTCATTTATCCGCTTAAATTTTCGTTATCTAAGAGGGTTATATTCTCTTAAAATCAGCACCATCGGATTCCCTTCCCTGACCATATTTCTAGCGTCGACGTACTTTTCCTCCTATTTCCGAAACACTCCCCCTTCACCGCTAACATGAGTCCAAGTTTCTTTCGCGGTCGCCCTCTGAACATTGTCGTTGTGCAACAGCAAGCTGTTTTTACACTGGCTTTTCTGCTTTGCCATTGCTTGCTCCAGGTCCAATGGGGCCACATTAAGTGCCAGTCGGACCGTTGCGGACTGGTTGTGTTTATTTCTTCCCCAGTGGTGTTCTTCGTCTCTGTCGTCTCGTCGTGCTAGATTCGCATTTTAAGATGGTACAGCTTGGTTGGAGTATAGTTGAGTTATTCATCCCGCCCTTCACTGCTCTCGTTGCATCTGACTCCTTTGCGAAGCACTGTGAATCAGTAAGACCATTGTGAGGTGGTTGTGATATGTGTTGACTCTTGAAGAAGAGTGGTACCGTCGCCATTGTGTTCTTAGCTTTTCTGCCACCCATTGGGAGGTCTGTTTGTTTCCAATATACCAGATTATGATGCTGTCTTAACGTTTCTACCTATTGAAACTATTTTGTAAATTTAGGAGTATCTTCCGCCCCTCATAAGCTGTGATTTCAAGGTCTTTTCAGCTGTGAAATTATTGACAGGCTTTCAACTTCGATGAGTTGTCGCCGGAGTATTGTTTTCACGAAGTTCCACCGCATTCGTGCATTGATTCAATACTTTTACGGTCGCCGTTGATGACCCCAACTTCTGCCGTTTAATAGAGCACAGCTAGCGCGCTGGGAAGAGCTAACTAGTACCATACTGACGACACGAAGGGCACTTGATAAGGAGTTCAGTGAGTCCACGATTACCGCAGTGGGCTTAGTCTCACATGTGCCTGTCCAGTACGTTGCGCTGAGAGGTTGCCGCTGAAGGATATTTGTATTAAGATGCCTTGGGCCAAGTGCCCTTGTGTGAAACTGAATCACCTCACCGTGGTGCTGCTGTGTCTAGTGTACTCTACTCTGACAGGTTGGTCCTTTCTTACCCATTTCCTCTCCGCCTGTTCGTATCGTCCGTTGTCACATCCAGTGGCGCATTGATAATTTCTAATACCACATATTTGGAGCGCCAACTTTGATTGCTTATTCAGACTGCCTTAGAGCCATGAGTCATGTCTGTCTACGTCCCTGTCTATAACCACAGGTCAGTCTTTGTGAACAGAGGGCTACGCGTTTGGAACTCGTGTGTACTGTTTTGTCCATCAATGTGAACTTTGCTCTGCTGAGTTGTGCAGTTGCTCATTCTATTGGAGCTGTTTATGGGCGCAATGGCAACAACATTCCCAGCGCTAGCGCCGCAGCCGCACTCATGCAGGAAAACACAATAACACGGGTTAGAATTTACGACCATGACAAAGATGTCTTGAAAGCTTTTGCGAGCACGCAAGTCAGGGTGATCATCGCCGTCACGAACGACGAGATTTCGGACATAGCCTCAGGGTCATCCGGCGCGGATGCTTGGGTGAGTAAGAATATCAGCCCCTACATCCAGAACACAAATATCAACGCCATTGCCGTAGGCAACGAGGTCCTGATAAGCAATCCAAGTCTCGCGGCCATGCTTGTCCCTGCTATGCACAACCTTCACGATGCCCTCATGAAGCAAGGGTATAACTCCGTGAAGGTATCGGCCCCGCACGGCTTGGGGATCTTGGAGATATCTTATCCCCCCTCGGCTGGCATCTTCTTCGACAGCCTCCAGGGTGTTTTGCAACCCATGCTAGACTTCCTGGATTCCACTGGCTCATTTTTCATGCTAAATGTGTATCCCTACTACTTGTATGTAAACAATGTCAACAGCATTTCATTGGATTACGCTTTGTTCAGTACCGACAAACCGGTGGTAGACGGCACAACATCCTTGCAGTACTTCAGCTTATACGATGCACAAGTGGATGCAGTTGTGTCCGCCATGGCGAAGCTCAATCACAGCACTCTTGGTATCGTGGTTACTGAGACAGGATGGCCTTCTGATGGTGACCCCACGAACGAGCCCGCAGCCAATTACTACAATGCAAAGATTTACAACCAAAATCTCGTAATTAGGTCTATGAACAATTCCGGAACGCCGTTGCGACCCGGCACAGAAATTCCAGCATACATTGCCTCGCTCTACGATGAGAATCTTCGCTATTCTCCGCCTGTCTCGAATACACATTGGGGCTTGTTTTACACCAATGGAAGCAGTAAGTATGACTTCGATTACATTACTGGCTTCTCGACCCGTGGAGGAGGTGGGGGATCGGGAGGTGGTGGAGGAGGATCAGGAGGTGGTGGAGGAGGATCCGGAGGTGGTGGAGGAGGATCCGGAGGTGGTGGAGGAGGATCAGGAGGTGGAGGTTCTCAAACCCCAGGCACATCCCCACGCTCGAGTTCTGAAAAGGTGTGGTGTGTAGCAAAGGCCGGGTCATCCAACAGTAGTTTGCAACAGGTACGATTACATTCACGGTGCACAGTTTCTGTTTCTCCCTCACGCTTACAATGTACGGTTTACTTCATTTTTGCTTGTGTGAACATTCCGAGGTGGGCTGTATCATGGACAGGGCCTGGATTGGGCATGCGGAGTAGGCAAAGCGAAATGTGACCCTATCCAACCGGGAGGCGCTTGCTATCTTCCCAACACCCTTGTTTCGCACGCCTCCTACGTCTTCAATATTCACTACCATTTCTTTCAAAGCGACCAACGAGCTTGCATCTTCGGTGGGGATGCAGAGTTAACTAATGTAGATCCCAGTGAGTTCGACGTTTTCTTCCTACCCTTGTGCTCGCATCTCTTAACATAGTCTAATTGTAACCTGACTATTAGTAGCAAGCGCCTTTTTTAGTGGTCAATGCGCAGCTGTTCTTCACTGCCATTGAATAGAATTGCTTGAGATGTCTGCTTCATTAATATCTAATGTCTCCGTCAGGTGTGCACAACTTCTAGTATGGCATCAGGTGATGTTTAATCTGGCAACGGATCGCTTGTGCCATCTTGGCACGTTGTGCTTACCTCACTCTTCAGTGCTATGCTTAGTCATCATGTCTTGCACCTCAACACGAAAAGTTTATTGATCCAGTTTAATCCTATCTTATCTACAGCTCATCGGGCTATTAAAGATTGTCACCATTGTAGAACTGCAGTGACCTCGATTCTTTCTGTGGGATGCTAATTGAAACATATGTGTTCTCTCTACAGGTTATGGGTCATGCATATACGTAGCAAGGTACTCATTCCTGCGCTAATCGCACCCTTTGGATCTGAAATTACCATTGATTTCGGTTTTCAATATCGATCTTCTCGTAATCTTCTATTGTATGTCTTATGTTTTCTTGGATTGGGTGCAGCTCCTCTGCTGGTAGGAAGGATTTCAGGTCAACATGGAGGATCCTGCCATTCTTCGCAGCTACTGTGTTGTCGTTACACTTGACCCTTTGAGGAACACTTCATCAATTATTAACCTGATCGTGTCGCACCTCCTCGACTCCACATTGTATTCTTAGCCTTCTCAGATCCATCTTTGATAGGGTTGAACTCGCAGGGTGTAATTGCGTCAGAGTTGCATGGCAATCAACCTCCTATTGCGGTCATGCTATTACGTTACACGTAGATGTACAGCCTAGTGTACAAGTGAATTGATCAACTTCTCTTCCAAGTGGGGAAGTTGAGAGACTTGAGGAGCTTGGGATTTTCAACCCGAACATTCTTCTTAGATCTGACAGAGATAAACTGTGACCCTGAATCCTTGAATGTATGCTAAGAGCAATATGTTTCATTTCTCTGTGTCTAATAGCACGGCATAAAACTCGATTTCATCTCTTTCCAATTACAACATTGAGGAGTAGTATGCATGACTGTGCCAAGTGTGTCGTTGGAAGTTAATTATGTGTTGGTAGCCATTTCTCATTGGAGTGTCCGTGTAAATACCTGCTGGCGCGAACTCTTCGTAGAAAGCTGAAACCGGTATAATGAAATGAATGATATTAATAGCACCCAGTGCAATGCTAGATATCACACGTGACAACCTTACTCATTATCACTACTCCTATTTCTCACAAAAGTACATGGATATTATTGACGAGTTACAGTAATGTCTCGTGTCTTTGCTCGCCATCACAATTTCCCAAACACTGGTCGAATTCTCTTGGTCAGAAGCGTTAATACTGTACCCAGAAAGTTCGCAAGTCCTTGAGCAGGCACACTTCCAAGGAAAACATGCTCTCAGTACGAGTTTGAGTTGGTGGGATGGAAATGTCTTGGCATGTGCGTCCGCAACCAGATGGACCAGAGCCAGCTAGAGATGAAATCGACCTAGGGTCAAGTCCCAACGGAAGCAGACCATGATATTAGACCCCTCTAATGGTCTGCGAAGCAACTATCTAGACGCTTCCTGGCAGTACACTATTCTCTAATTCCCAGATGCTGTCGTCCTATTGCACTTCTAGTGAGACTATTGGAAGTAGGAAAATTGGTTTTACGAAACGAGCTTTGTTCTCCTTGTGATGGATCCGACGGTGCTTTGCAAACGCTAGCTGAGGCCTGGTCTCACAGTTTTACAAACAAAGAGTGCATTGTTGGTGAAATTGGTCATGTCTTGTTTGCCAGTAGTGGCTGCTTGGCAATGCAGATGGTGGTGGAATCGTATTGATCCGGTGCGAAGGAAGGTGATATGGCCGGATCTCCGCCTTTTCTGATCGGCGGTGTCTGTCAGCATGCCCCTGAATCAGAAGAGGCGATGGCCCCAGATTGGGACATTTGTCGTAGAAATCTGGATGTGTGGATGGATGAAGATACATATGGATGTTTATATGAATGACTTGATGGATGAATAGATAGCCATCTATATATCTCTTGTATAAAACAGCTAAGAGATTAAATAAACTAGAGGAGACAAAAACCATATCTAATTGGTTGCATTTCTCATTGTTTTCATCAAAAGTGAAGCAAAAGTTTATAAAATTATAAGACCTTAACAACATATATGATTCACTTCTATGTCAAAAAAAGATCTTTGTACTTGAAATCATTTGATATTGATGCAAAGTTTGTATTGTTTTCATCAAAAGTTTTTTCTCTACTTTATTATTTGGTGTTGTTGAAGAGTTTGTGCCCATCTTTGAAATTGAATAGATTGAATGTATCTTATATAAATGAGACATGGTGCAATAAGACTGAAATTCAAGTTGTACTTGCTCAATTTTTAAATTAGGTGATTTATAATAGATTTCTCTAAAAAGTGTCTTTGAAGAGCATTATCTATGAGCATGAAGGTTGAAAGAGATTGTTGTACTAAACCCTCTTTCTTCTATCTAGTTTGAGACTAGAAGTTTGTTTGTTTTGAATATGTATAATTAAAGTTTGCTGATTAATTTTTTGATAAAAAATAGAGTTTATATGAATGGAGATTTTAATAATTGATCTCAAAATAGAATTGAAGTAGAATTATAGTAGGAATATGGATTTGGAAATGAAATAGTGATACAAGAGTGTATTAATCTTTTAGTTCTCTAAGATTCATATCCTTGATAATTTGACAAGAATACTTACTCATTGTCCTTGTTTTGTATCAAAAAAGAATAGAATACTCCACTTTTATTGCTATATTTTGAAGGTTGCAGACTATCTATCTTTAAAATTATTTTTAGTTTTTAGCACTGATTCTTATTTTTCAAGACAATAGACTATTCTTCTTTATAGAAACTTTCATTTGATATTAGAGGTTACAGATTATCCTCTTTTAATTTGACTTTTAGATTTGATTGAATAATCTATGGAAGAAAAAATTATAAATACTAAATTTAGTGGAAGTGAGAATAGATTTGCAACTATTGTAAGTCTTCATGAATTTACCAATACTTTGAAAGTGAAAATCTCATATATCTCAAATGTAAACTATGAAGGTATTATTTTGACACCTATCGAAGAGATCAACAACAAAGTTCAAAGTTAATGCCAAGAAGTTGTGTAATTCAAAGAAGCAAGTAAATCAAATTTATAACTAAATCTAAGAAATCTTGTTATTCCAAGTATAAGAGAAGCAAGGACTTTAATTATACATATTCAGCAAACTTTAATTATACATATTCAAAATCAGCAAGATAAATATGCCCAAGAAGTTCAATGAAACAAAATTAAAATTTTGAAGATTTTTACAACAAATAAAGCTCTATCTAAGGTTACATCCTTCTCAATGCTATGATGGATTTACTCAAGTTGAATTCATAGGTGCACTTCTCTTTGAGAATGCTTTTTCTTAATTTTTATTTTTAATAGAAAAAGATTTACATCTTTTTTATATTATAAATTCATTTTTAGAAGTATTTACAGTTATTTTTGGAGAAAGTGATCAAGAAAGGGTAGAAAAAACCATATTTATATTTTACAAAAAAGATCATGTTCAACTATTATATATGCTACAAAATTCTAAAATCTCACTTGCAATATAGATTAGAATGAAAAAGTCTTATTGATATGAGTTAAAAGATAACGTCAAATATTTATTATTGATAATTCCAAGAATAGGCTTAATACAAGAATTTATTGTTCAAGCCTTTCCATGTGATAATCGATTCTTTGAAAGTCACCAGGAATAAAGATTTTATTGAAGAGGTATAAATCAAGCCATGGTAATAGCTTCTAAGTTCACAAAAGCTTATTCCTTAAGACCAAAATCTATGTAAATTTACCTAGTATATTTTAAGCCTCTTATTGAGCAAGAAAGGACTTAATACCATCAAAAAGATTTATGTTTATATTGTAGAGAACTTGAATATATTTCTTAATATTGCTCAAGGAAGCAACACAATCCCAAAATGAAGCATACAGTTGTCAAAGAAGATGATGTGTCAAAAACAAATTTCTCCAATTATAGCAAGGATCATGTGACTAGAATCTTAGTATATAATATCTAATAAAGGTTCTATTCTTACTTTCAATTCTTAAATTTATTTTATAATAGAAGTTTATTTAGGACCAAAAATCACAAAGTATTTGCCTTATTAAACTCAAGAGCCTTAGCTTGTTTTATGGATGAAGTCTTTGTTAAAAAATAAGAAATTTCTTTAATAAAAAAAATAATAGTTTAATATTATTCAATATCATTAGATCTCCATCCAATTCAATCACTATAAGATTATTTTGGCTAGAGAAGTATAACCCTCAAATAAAATAGATTCTTATAACCTTGATTTTTTTCATAGTTGACTTTAGGATCTTGCAAATTGAGTAGAAATCCATAAGTCCAATACAACAAAACCCTTATTGGTAGATACAAGGGCTTTCATACATGTAGCAAAAAAAGGAGTAGTCTTTATTATATATGCCACACTTATTTTTAAAAGTGAAAAGACTTAAAATGGTATTTTAAGCTAATACTAAGATTATCAAGATGTTTTTGAAAAACAAAATATAAATATTTTTTGAAAGCATCATTTCTATGATAGTTCCATTGATCTTTAAGAAAAAGCTCAACCGCTATTTGGACCAATCTATAATTAATTACAGAACAAGTTGGTTGCATTAAAGAAAAACATACAAGAACTTGGTTAAAAACTTCATATATCATTCAAAATCTCTAGTATGACTTCTTATCTTATTTGTAAAGAAAAAAAAAATTGATCTCTATAGAAGTATGTAGATTATTAAGGGCTTAATAAGATTGCTATTAAGAATAAGAATCATTGATTTTAAGTCTTCTTGACCAACTCAATCAAACAAAGATTTATAAAAAACTACATCTAAAAGGAGCATAAAACTTAGTCTATATTAATAAAAGAGATGAATAGAAGACTACTTTTTGAATTAAGTATGGATATTTTGAAAATAATATCATATCTTTTGAACTTATGAATGCACCAATCTTTTTTCAATATCTTATGAATGATGTTCTTTTTGAATTTTTTAATGATTTTGTTGTCTACTATTTAGATGATATTTTAATCTACTCTAAAATCATAGAAGAATATGAACTTCATATTTATTGTGTATTATAAAAATTTAGAAATATAAGATTATATACCAAGATAAAAAAGTATATATTCTATATTACTCAAGTTGATTTTTTAGGATATGTTATTTCCAACAAAGGCCTTATGATGGATTCTAAGAAGGTTCAAACTATTATAGATTGAAAGATTTCAAGAATAATCAAAAACATGTAATATTTTTTAAAATTTGCTAATTATTACCAAATCTTCATGAAGAATTGTTTCAAGTTGTGATTTTTTTTATATACTTGGCATGTAAAGACAAACTTCAATGGAGTAAAGAAGTAGAAGTATCTTTTGAAACCTTAAAGACATCATTTTTTTTATTCTAATCTTATATTACTTTGATTTTTTCAAGGCATTCATTATAGAAAAAATTATACTAAATTTGACTATAGATAAAGTATTGTCACAATTGACAATAGATCATAAACTCTACTTGATAGCTTTCTATTACAAAAAAATTTTATTAGCCAAAATTAATTATAAGATCTACAACAAAGAACTTATTTTAATTGTAGATTTATTATAAGAATGGTGTTATTATCTAAAAGGTACTTTTAGTTCAATTATTATAAAAATGGATTATAAGAACCTTGTGTAATTCATATTAGGATATGTTTTGAATCATCGCCAAGCTTATTGATGCATAACTTTATTAAGATTTGATTTCAAGATCACTTATTAATTCAAAAAAAATAAGATTTATCACTCACTTTCTAGAAATTTTTATCTTGTATCAAAAGAATGAAATGTAGCTTTTGATTAATAAAGAATAATTTTTTTCAAGTCCAATTATTTTCATCTTTGAGCAATAAAATCAAAATTAATTATTGATTCAACC